GAGGATTCAAATCGGAGACGGAGAGGATTGGAATCGGAGACGGAGAGGACTGAAATCTGAGACGAAGAGGAGAAGGTTTGAGAGAGAGTTTCTGATTTTTCACTAAGTATTGAGAAAAAAAAAGAAGAATACCCTAAACTAAGCTGACTTTCGAATAAGCCACGGTTATAGAAACGTGACTTAATTTACTCATAACCGCGAAATGAAAAACAATTAGAGCCAAAACCGAATTTAGTGGAGGCAAAACCGATTGGTTTTTGCAAAATTTCGTAAAAACCACGATATACCCACAAAAATATACGTGGCGAAGCCCTAATATCAGCCGCGAAATGAAAAAAAAATTGGAGCCCAAACCAAATTCAGTGGAGGCAAACCCACTAAGCCACAAATGTACCACGAAATTTTTGTGGCTATGTTTAAATTACTAAATCAAAACCACAAACTTCAAATCCCTAAACTATAACTCTTACTATTATCCATCAACCTACACTCATACAACAAATACATTTCTCATCCTTCCTACATATTTTACAATCTTACAACATATTATACATTATTACAACATATTTTACATCATTATAACATATTTTACATCCTCACAACATTTTTTTACATTTACACAACATATTTTACAATCTTACAACATATTAAAAAAATTTAGAACATATTTGACATACATATACACATATGTTACAATCTTAGAATATATTTCACTATCCCGAATCACCATCTGAATCATCAGATCATTCAAACTCAGCATCCGATACATACTTTCATTGTTTGGCGGATTCGCTAGGACAGTATCATAATCACAAAAAGCGTCAACAACATGTGTCTCTACTCTTAACAATGATGAACTTTTAGCAACTTGGTCACGTCTATCATCTTGCTACGCTGTTAAAGCAATTTCTGACGTTTCTCGAATTCCTCGGAGAAATTTTTTTACACATGCCCACCAGTCATCGGTTGACTGTCAACGTATCCGTGGATAAGTAATAAAATATGCTTGATCACAGTTATCTGTTCAATATACAACAACATCATAGTTTTAAATCTAAAAAAATAATATATATAAATATATATGTGTGTATATATTTACTTTCACTTACTTGGTAATATAAAAAGATCATATTTTGCATATTGTCGCGTGGTGAGACATCAACTAGACTAGAAGAATGTCCCTTTGTGTCAAATCACGAACAATTGAAAACCATGATTTTCAAGGCAACATTACCATGATACTCTACCATCATGATCTTCTGAATGATGTCATTGTAGTCTGTATCATTGGTTCCAAGGACACAAACACCATAATGTTGAGTTTTCTTATTTTGACCATGGTTATGGGTGAAAAGTGTTGATATTATTTAGCCTTTCATGCAATATTTCTTCCCCAATCAACCATGGTGGAGTAAGATCCTTAATGGTTTTTCTCCGTCTAAACGCTTAAGTGTTTTTCCAGTAAGGATGATTTGCATCTAAAAATCTTCTGTGGCAATTAAACCAACTATGTTTTCATCCATTAGACAACCAGAATGCATCTGTCTCATCTTGAGAATATGGGAATGCCATCCGACCATGAGTCGTCCAACCTGAAAGCATCCCATACGCTGAAAAATCGTTTATCGTCCACATCAACACTGCTCGCATTATGAAGCTTTCTTTCTTTGAAACATCATATGCCTCCACACCATCCTTTCATAAATTTTGTAATTCTTTAAACAACGGCTGCAAGTAAATACTAAGCTTTTCTTCGGATGTTCGGGTCCGGGTATTAGTACCGAAAGTAACAAGAATTCTCTTTTCTTCACTTTCATCATCCGTGAAGCAAGAGACAACAGAGATATTCCTTCTGCACACCCTTCATAAAGAGGTTGGGTGGCTGCTTCAAATGCTTCAAAAACATTATCATGATATGGCTCCACTATCTCCGTCTCCTCTATAGGTTCGTGCATGTAGGGTGGTGCAATGTCCGCTTGTCCTTGGGGAATCTCCTGGTAACAATCTTCATGAGCATTCCAAGTAGGATTCTCCCACATTCCATATGCACCCGTCGAGTTATTCACCCCAGAACTCTCACTGACATCACAAGATTTCTCTCCATGATTCGTCCAGACATAATAATTCTCCTTAAAGCCGTATAAGAATAGATGTTTTGAGATAACTTTTACATCTCGTTGCTTCACATTTTTGCACCGCGCACACGGACACAATAATGTTTGTCGTTTCCTGATAATCAGCTTGATTACATGCAAATTTAAGAAATGCGTTAATACCTCCAAAAAAATTTCAGAAACGCAATTACTTCTTGGATCAAACCTTTCATCCATCCATTCTCTTGAATCAAAGTAGAAAGACATTGTGTTTTAAAAAATTTTGAGAGACAATAATGAGCTGAATCTTTCTCTCGAGCAACTTTGATTATTAAAGTAAGCCACAATGTAGGCACGAAAAAACTGTGACTTCTTCACTTTCATCGATCAATGTGGGCACAAAATACCAAAAACAAATAAGCCACGATGAAGCCATGGCACAAACCATGGCTTTGTATGCCAGCATAAAAAAAGCCTTCCCACTACAGTTTTCGTGGGAAAAGTGTTGCTTTTTGTTGCTACCACGAAATAATCGTAGCCGTTTTTGTGGCTTTTTGTGCCACGTTTTAGTTTCGTGGCCAGAACGTGGCTTATTTTCGCATTTTTTGTTGTTAATGTTTTTTGTGGCTCTTATGTGGCTGTATCTTGATTTTTTACTTTTAGCCATGGTTTTACAGTGAAAACGATGTGGCTATGCAGTAAAATTTTACTAGTGTTCGGCCTGGTCCAGATCCAAGGCAAACCTATTTGGTATTTTTGGACCCGTAAGTCTTTGCTACCCTAACCCAATTGAGTACCTAAAGTACATGAAATGTTATGTGTACATATATTAGGTATATTTGGGTATTTCCTATATGTTTTTGGTATTACATATATTTTTATATTTCATGTTTGGGTTTACGATCATAGTTTCGAAGTTTCAGATAAAACTTCAAAATTTTAAAGATTTATTGAAGTACACTTGTACCATTGCCAAAAAGCTTGTCTCAATCCATAAATGGATTTACGCAAGCGACAAACAAGACTGGGAGGTAAAACTTCATCAGGACCTGGAGTGTAACCCAACATCAAGCTCATGTAGATTTTTTTCATCCATATCACTATGCAAAAAAAAACACATACATTTAGAAAAGACTCCAACCATGAAAAGCTGCCAATTAAATCCAAAATAAACTTCACAGTTCTTAATTTGGTCACATGAGAGAAAATATCCTAGAAATCAATACCCTCATGCTGAGTGAAGCCATGAGCCACCAGACGAATCTTGTGTCTATCAATGGTATCATCCACATTAAACTTCAATGTTTATATCCATTTACAAGTTACAACCAACAATATTCTTCCCTGGAGGCAAAGACTCAACAACCCAATTAGATTCCATGTCAGCCATTCATAGCTACTCTCGACACAATATATGTTATGGCTTGTTTAAAAGTCTTGAGTTTAGTTTCAACAGAACTGGAAAGAACATAGTTTTAATATTGAGGATGAAGGTTAGAGTAGAAAAGGACATAAGATAAAGGATATATAAAGGGTGGAAGGAGTGGGAAGAATTTGAGATAATGGTGTAGAAAGATGAGCCACAGAGCAACAGTAATAAGATAAGTAGGGAGGGGTTTTAGCACTCCGCTTTGGTCTGCCAATATTCAATAAAGCTTGACCATTCCTAGAAGTGATAGTTTTATGACTACCCATAGTAGCACTAGTTGGAACAAGAAGAATGGGATGCATATGCACGTGAAGATGGAGATATTGGAGGAAAATGAATTACATAATCTAAAGCAGTGGGAGTAAGAAATGGTAAAATCATATCAGGAGATAAAGAAGATGATTAAGTAAAATGTGGATCAGTGTTAAAAGAAATAAAGTTTCATGGAAAACCACATTACGTAAGATAGAGATTGTAAATGTATCCAAATGTAAAACTTTGTAGTCGTTAAACTCTGAAGGATATCCTAAGTAAATACAAGAATCAGCTCTTGGTGTGAATTTGGTATGATCCTTTTGTAAAGTAGGAACATAACAAAGACAACAAAAATTGTAAAGAAAACCATAATCAGGCTGTTTGTTTGCTAAAACCTTATAAGAAGAAACTTTTTTCTCTGTAAAAGTAAAGAAGGTATTGTATTGATTAGGAAAACCGTAGTACGCATAAAATCACTCAAATAAACTAGAGGAACATTAGACTTAATCATTAAAGAACATGCAATATTAGGAATATGATGATATTTCCCTTCAACTACAAAATTCTGTTCAGGCGTATATGCACAAGAAAATAGTGAATTATGACATTATCCTTAACAACCTGAGCAAAATCCAACTCATGTATATTATCAATACGACTTAGTAAACACATGATATTAACTGTATACTTAAAGAAATCAGGAAAAACACAAGCAACATCACTTTTATTTCTTAGCATATAATTCCATGTTACACGATAACAGTCATGAGTCATCAACAATAGTAAAAAAGTAACAATAATCTATAACTAGTTCAACAAAAAAATCTCCATACATCCAAGGTGAACCAAGTGAAATAATTTGCATTATGATTTTCTGCGTGAATATTTACCTAGTTATTTCTATAAAAAGAAATATTATGGTGCACTACTTGAGCTGCTTACTATAGGTGAATGCCTCGTATTTAGTGACGAGTCATTCTCAACGACGACCCTGCTGTATTCCCATATCAGAGCAGAAAACCATAAGAACTGAAGCAAAAGAGAAGAAACACAAGATTTTGCTGGACCATCAAAGGGCTTTTTACTTACGATCATTTTGCATTAAAGGGCCTATAGACGGAGAAGAATACCAATTGTCGACCCAAAAAAGAATAGACTGCATCCTTCCTACATAAATGCTTATTCCTTATTTATCTTTCTTTATTATTTTCATAAAGGTAGCGCAGAAGGAAGTGAAGTTATTAAATCAAATCTCACTAAACAAAACAGATCATCGCAATCATCCGAGCGAGGGAAAAATGGAGATCTTCTACTTGGTGGTGTTCGGTGGGCTGGCTGCGATCGTAGCTGGGTTGGAGCTGAGCAAATCGAACAAAGACCGAATAAACACCTCATCCGCCTTCAACTCCTTCAAGAACAACTATCTCCTCGTCTACTCCCTCATGATGGGTGGGTACATCCCCTTCCTTCTTCTTGATTTTTCGTTAAAAGTGTTATAATAGATCAGGTGATTGAATTGATTGGTGGTTGTATTGTGTAGCTGGGGACTGGCTGCAGGGACCTTACGTGTACTATCTGTATAGCACTTATGGATTCGGCAAGGGAGAGATCGGTCAGCTCTTCATTGCTGGTTTCGGATCTTCTATGCTCTTTGGCACCATTGTTGGATCTCTCGCCGATAAACAGTGAGTCACCAATGCAATTCAATGCATCCCTCTCTTCTTCTAATTAATCATTCTTGTGTTCCTTAATTAGGGGTCGCAAGAGAGCTTCAATCACCTACTGCATTACCTACATTCTCAGCTGCATCACCAAACACTCTTCTCAGTACAAAGTTCTCATGCTCGGCCGTGTCCTCGGCGGCATCGCCACTTCTCTTCTCTTCTCCGCCTTCGAGTCTTGGCTTGTCGCTGAGCACAACAAGCGAGGCTTCGAGCAGCAGTGGCTTTCCCTCACTTTCTCCAAGGCTATTTTCCTTGGCAATGGTCTTGTCGCCATCATTGCTGGCCTCTTTGGTAACTTCCTTGTTGATTCCCTCTCCCTCGGCCCCGTTGCTCCTTTCGACGCTGCTGCTTGCTTCCTTGCTGTTGGTATGGCCGTTATTATGTCTTCGTGGTCCGAAAACTACGGAGATCCTTCGGAGAACAAAGACCTTCTTACTCAGTTCAAGAACGCTGCCTCTGCAATTGCTTCGGATGAGAAGATCGCGTTGCTTGGTGCTATTCAGTCTCTGTTCGAAGGGTCCATGTACACCTTTGTGTTTCTATGGACTCCTGCTTTGAGCCCTAATGATGAGGACATCCCACATGGTTTCATATTTGCTACCTTCATGCTCGCTTCCATGCTTGGCAGCTCCGTTGCTTCTCGTCTGCTGGCTCACTCGTCTCCTAAAGTAGAGAGCTATATGCAGATTGTGTTTGTCATCTCTTCAGCTGCTCTGATGCTTCCCGTTGTTACAAGCGTATGTATTTTCTGCGATCGTATTTATTTACTTATTTTCAAGGAGTTTGCATCCTGTATATATATATATATATATAACTTTTGCTTTCCACAGTTCTTGGTGGCCCCCTCTGGTGTAAAAGGTGGAAGCATCTCTTTCTCTGGCTGCATTCAGCTTATGGGTTTCTGCACTTTTGAAGCTTGCGTTGGAATCTTCTGGCCTTCTATCATGAAGATGAGATCCCAATACATTCCAGAGGAAGCCAGAAGCACCATCATGAATTTCTTCCGCATCCCACTCAACATCTTTGTCTGCCTTGTCCTCTACAATGTTAGTCTTCTCATTTTACAAGAAATATATACTGCTGCGATGGATGGACTTAACGAGCTGTTCTTTGTATATGCTAACTAAAGGTTGATGCGTTTCCAATGACCGTGATGTTTGGGATGTGCTCCGTATTCCTTTTTGTGGCCTCTGTATTGCAGAGGAGGTTGATGAACGTAGCCGAGATCCACAAGTCAAGTAAGTCTTCTGACACTAGTGGCGAAACATTTTATCTAGTGGGAAGTACAAGCCATTTGCTTGATTGGTTCATAGAAAGTAGCTAGAGGATTTGGGAACATGTTAATAGTGAGTCATGAACATGTTTGATCTGATCATCTTGAGGACCGAGTGGTGATTCTTATTTACCATTGCAGGATTACCAGAGTGGTCAGGAGCAAAAGAGATGACCTCGGAAGCTGACCCTCTAAATCCAGAATAAGCTATCTCGATGACATAAAAAAGAGAGTAAACGTCGTTACTTAGACGCCTTCTTTGTCTTGATGATTTTCTACTTGTCTTAGTACCTTGGTAAGTTGGTCCATAAACTCATAAAGCCATTCCATTCAAACCCTGCTGAACCCATATATAGTATCTTGTTAGTTATATTTGGATTTTTGTGATTTCACCGGATGTAGCCTACACTCAAACCTTTTACCTGTTCAACGTTAATCAGCCTTTGGGATTCTTCTTTCAATTTTTATTTGTGCTTTGGAAAAATAATCTTTAGATAGAAGTTGGCTCTAAACCATAGAAATGCGGAAACAGTGTTGGTGTTTAAAAGGAAGTCCAATCTTTCTACGTTGAGACAATTACAAGAAAAACACACACATAATGATGGAATTTGCGACGAAGAGGGAGTAGTCATAAACTTGTACAATTTGATGAACACATGAATAATAACGGTGGCCATGTGAAAAAGCAGACACCAGAAAAAAAAAATATATGCGACATTGCCCAGTTGAGGCCATGTGCCCCAATCCTCAGTCAGGGGTACAACCGTCATTCCCTTACTCCTTGGCTTCACCAATTTATATGAGCTTAGCTTTTCATAAACAAAACTCATCATCACCAATCCAGACAGAGGGAGAGAGAAATGGGAATGGTTAGTTGCAAGGCGAGCGAGTAGACATAAACCATTGTACAATTTGACGAGCACATGAATGTATAGAAACGGGTCTTGTTTATGACCTGGTGGCCATGTGAGAGCAGACACTATATGTTAAAGAAAATGAACTTTTATTAGATCCCTCTATTGTATTGGGATAGGATGCTCGACATTGCCCACTTGGACGCCTCAATTATCAGGGGTAGAACCGTCATTCCCTTACTATTTGGTTTCACCAATTTATATGAGTTAGCTTTTCAGGAGATCTCAGAAACAAAACTCACCACCAATCAAGAAAGCGAGAGAGAGAGAGAGAGAGATGGGAATGATGAGTTTGAGCAGCAGCGTAATGGTTGTGTTGATGATACTGTTGGTGGTGCAAGTGTCGTCGACGCAATACAAAGTTGGGAACTTGGACTCATGGGGAATCCCAGTTGATGCTAAAGTCTACTCCAAGTGGCCCAAAACTCACTCTTTCAAGATCGGTGACTCCCTCTGTAAGTAAAGTTATACAAATCAACGAGATTATTCAAATCTCTAAATCGCTCATTAAATGATGATGCAACCTGTAACAGTGTTCTTGTACCCACCAAGCGAAGATTCAATGATTCAAGTGACAGCTTCCAACTTCAAGAGCTGCAACACCAAAGATCCAATCTTGTACATGAACGACGGCAACTCTCTCTTCAACCTCACCCAAAACGGATCCTTTTACTTCACCAGCGGACAACCTGGCCACTGTCAAAAGTACCAGAAGCTCCTCGTCTCCGTCGGCACTTACTCCCCCGAAGCTGACGACGCCTTGTCTCCTTCGTCTTCTGCTGATGCCGACGCTCCCTCTTATCAAAACGCATTTGGATCCATCCCACTCTCTCAGAAATCTTTTTCTTCTTCGCTGCGATTCTCCATCATCGTTGCTTCGCTGGCCTGCGCTGTCGTCGTCGGTGCTATCATGTGAAATTGTCCCATTTTTTTGCATTATTTTATTAATTTTGTTCTGTCCAAAAAAGCAAAATTGATTGGCTCTTTTTATGGATATTTTATTAATGTCTTAATCATTTATAAACGAGTAATGTATTTCTTCTACATTCCGAACTTTTAACTAAGCATTTTAAGTTAAAAAATTATGTTTATCTAATCTTTTTTTTTGGTGGGAATTATGCTTATCTAATCTATTAAAACATGTTATGATATATCGTATAATATCATATCTCCTCGTATATTCTGTTATGATAATGTGTATATCGTATATTTCCTTTTGTCGTTAACTTCCATATTTGTGGGAAGCTAGGTTAGAGATCTTGTAATATATAAACAGGTCTATTGGCCTCAAAGGAAATACAAGAGAAACATTCATCGATATCATATTCTCTTGACATGGTATCAGAGCAGTAATACGATTCTGCTGTTTGATTTTAATTTGAGACTATATTCTTGAGAAGCGTTCTCGTCAACACGAAGAGATGGGAAGCAACGATGGGAAGAATGAAGAATCTGGTGTGAGCTCTACGACAAAAACTCAGACTGGAGGAAGACTGAATGTTGAGATTAAAAGAAGAACCATATCGCCCTATGACTTGTCGTCAAGCGACAATCCGGGTTCAGTGATATCTAAGCCGCAGCTTAGTGGGACGAACTACAACGAGTGGGCTGCAAATCTGCGTATGGCGCTCAAGGCTCGAAAGAAGTTTGGGTTTGTGGATGGGTCTATTCCACAGCCTGGAGATGATTCTGAAGATTTGGAGGATTGGTGGACAAATAATGCGCTTGTGGTGTCTTGGATCAAACTCACAATTACAGACACGGTACGCTCGAATCTCTCTCATATCGAGATTGCGAGTGATTATTGGGAACATATTCGACGTCGATATTCAGTGAAGAACGGCCAGCGAGTTCAGCGTATCAAGGCAGAACTGGCGACATGTCGACAACAGGGTTGCTCCATTTAAGAGTACTACGGGAAACTTATGCAGTTGTGGACATCTTTGTCTGACATTCGACAGTCCAAAACATGCAACTGCCCGATTGGAGCTAACTTGGAGAGAGAACGTGAAGAAGACAGACTTCATGAGTTTTTGAAAGGACTGGACGAGTCTCTGTATGGCTCAGTGAAATCAAATCTCTTGTCTAGAGATCCATTGCCTACGCTTGATGAAGCCTATAGCACCCTTCTGCAAGATGAAGATGCAAAACACACGTCTCGTGTTCTCAACGAAAAAGTGGACACAATGGCGTACACAGTGAGAACAAATCAAAACGGTGGAGCTGCTCGGTCTTTCCCCACACGAGAAGAGCGAGCAAAGCTGCTGTGTTCCAGCTGTGGAAGAAAGGGACATTTGGCTGACTCTTGTTTCAGAACTGTTGGGTATCCTGAATGGTGGGGAGATCGTCCTAAACTTCCACAGACTAATGGACGTGGACGTCGCGTTGGAACAGCACAGGGTCGTAGTGAATCTCAGCGAGTGAATGCGGTGCAAGTGTCTGTGCCGGCGGTAACACAATCAGCGAACTCGATCACAGCTCAAGATCGAACAGGTATCACGGGGCTGAGTGATGATCAGTGGCACACATTGGTCAACTTGCTAAATGAACGTAAGCAGCCAGCCTCGACATCATTAACAGGTACGTGTTTCTTGGGTTCTTGGATTGTTGACTCTGGAGCAACAAACCATATGACTAGTTCAGTTGGTTTTCTGTCTGATGTAAAAGATATAGCACCTGTGTCGGTTAAATTGCCTGATGGAAGGCTCAGTTGTGCTTCAAAACAGGGAACTGTATGCATCAGCTCTGCGCTTGTTCTGCAGAATGTGCTTCTCGTAAATGGCCTGCAATGCCATTTAATCTCTGTTTCTAAGCTAAACCGAGAAAGTCAGAGTGTGTTTCAGATTACTGATAAAATTTGCTTGATCCAGGACCGCATTACCAGGACGCTGATTGGAGTGGCTGAGATGGTTCATGGCTTATACTTTCTGCGAGGGATGGAGTTTGCTGGAGCTGTGCAGAGTACGGATTCAGTATCTAGAGATGTTTGGCATCATCGTCTAGGACATCCTTCGTCCAGAGTTTTAGATTTATTATCTATTTCGGATTTTTCTACTAATAAGGAGTTGCAAACTAAAGCATGTGAGATCTGTGTACATGCTAAGCAAACTCGATGTGTTTTTCCTACAAGTTCTAATAAAACATCAGTTCCATTTGAGTTGATACATTGCGATTTATGGGGACCATATAGAATACAATCTCATTGTGGTGCAAGATACTTTCTCAAAATAGTTGACGATTTTACTAGAAGCGTGTGGTTGTACTTGCTTCCTGCTAAACATGAAGTCTCACGAACACTTCGAGAATTTGTTGCATTGGTTGAAACATAATTTGAAACCAAGATCAAAAGCCTGAGAAGCGACAATGGAACTGAATTTCTCTGCTTATCAAGTTACTTTCGAGAAAAGGGCATAACACATGAAACTTCTTGCGTGGGCACACCGCAACAAAACGGAAGAGCTGAAAGAAAACATCGCCACATTCTGAATGTAGCTAGAGCACTGCGTTTTCAGTCATCACTTCCCTTGGAGTTTTGGGGAGAATGTATTCTCACAGCCGCGTACCTAATCAACAGAACCCCGACACCTCTGTTGAATGGAAAGACTCCTTTTGAAAAATTATACAACAGGCCTCCGCCACTTCATCATCTGCGAGTGTTTGGGTCTCTATGCTACGCTCATAATCAGAACCATAAAGGTGACAAGTTTGCATCCAGAAGCATCAAGTGTATCTTCCTTGGATATCCAAATGGGAAGAAAGGTTGGAGAGTGTACAATCTTGAAACCAAAAAGATATTTTCATCCAGGGATGTAGTGTTCTTTGAAAATGATTTTCCTTTCGCAAAGCTAGGAAGCACAGAAGCTTCACAACCGGTCATTCGTCAGCTGGAAAGTGTACCTTCTGCGACCTTGAATCCACTCCTCCGCAGTGATCAACCATCGGTTCCAGTAGAATCACCGATTGCTGATACAGAAAGTGATACAGAGTCTTAAACAGGGACTGAAATATTTTATGACTCTGAAGAGTTTGAAACTCCAGACATGAACCTCGATAATGAGGCTCATGACGACAAGAATCTTCCCCCAACAACTTATGCTCCAGACAGTAACCCTACTCGACAAGAATCTTCTGGTCAGTCACCTACACAAGGGATCGTCAATGAAACTGCAGAGCCTACTCCCTTAGTTTCACCAATCCCTGCATCGAAAGATAACTCTCTTGTTATCAATAACGCACTACCAGAAGAAGAGGTTATACAGATGGGTCGTGGTCACAGACAGAAGTCATTGCCGACTAAACTCCATGATTACATGCTTAACACAGTACTTGCAGAAGCTAATATTCCAACAACAGCTCTATACTCCATCTCGACCTACATTGATTGCTCAGCCTTCTCAGAGAACCATTGTCAGTTCATGGCAGCTATTACCATTGCTTATGAGCCACGTACGTTTAAAGAAGCAATGCTAGATGAGAATTGGAGACATGCATCGCGAGATGAGATAGATGCGCTGGAAGAAAGCGGTACTTGGGATATAGTTACTCTACCTAAAGGGAAACGAGCCCTGAGTTGCAAGTGGGTTTTCAGGCTGAAGTTCAGAGCTGACGGCACTCTGGAACGTCACAAACCCAGATTAGTTGTCTGCGGTAATCGAGAAGTTGGGGGAGATGACTATAACGAAATGTTTGCGCCTGTCGCAAAGATGACAACGGTTAGGAGCTTTATGCAACAGGCTGCCTCACTTGATTGGGAAGTACACCAGATGGACGTGCATAACGCCTTTCTTCATGGTGATCTTAAGGAAGAGGTATACATGAAACTACCACCGGGATACCGCGGAGCAGAAAAGAACCAAGTCTGCCGTCTGCGGAAATCTCTATACGGCCTCAAACAAGCCCCTCGCTGCTGGTTTGAGAAATTGACCTCAGCACTGTTGGAATATGGGTTTTCTCAGTGCTTGTCGGATTACTCATTATTTACTTTGGAACGTGGTCAGGATCGACTTCACGTTTTGATATATGTCGACGATTTGATCATATCAGGAAGTACATCTACACTAGTTTCAACTTTCAAGACATATCTCAGTAGGTGCTTTCACATGAAAGATTTGGGAATCTCCAAATACTTCCTTGGAATTGAAGTAGCTCGGAGTCCTTCAGGGATCTATCTCAGCCAGCGAAAATATGTGTTGGATCTCCTCAAAGAGACAGGACTTACAGCTGCCAAACCAGTGGACTTTCCATTGGATCAGAATCATAAGCTTGCTCTCGATGACAGTAATTTTCTTACGGATGTTGCAGCCTACAGACGGTTAGTAGGTAAACTCATTTACTTGAGCAACACTCGTCCAGATCTTTCGTATGCCATCCATATTCTATCGCAGTTTATGCATAAACCACGCAAAGGTCATTGGGACGCTGCGATCAGAGTCGTCCGTTATCTCAAAGGTACTCCTGGTCAAGGAATCTTGCTACGAGCACACACTGATCTTACCCTCACGGCTTGGTGTGATGCGGATTGGGCTGCATGTCCACTCACACGAAGATCTTTAACGGGTTGGTTCATTCAGCTGGGAGGATCACCTATATCTTGGAAGACAAAGAAACAACCGACCGTATCGTTATCCTCAGCTGAATCAGAATACAGAGCAATGGCGTTTACACTCAAAGAGATACTATGGTTACGCAGGCTTCTGACTTCTCTCGGCATCAAGTTCAGTGCTCCCATTCCTCTGTACTGCGACAACAAGGCCGCGATTCATATCAGTCTCAATCCCGTCTTTCATGAAAGAACGAAGCACGTGGAAACAGACTGTCATTTTGTGCGTGATGAGATTACAAGAGGCACCATTGTTACACGCCATGTCTCTACTAAAAACCAATTGGCGGATATTTTTACCAAGGCATTGGGCAGTCGTGAATTCCAGGCGTTCATTGGCAAGCTGGGCGTACTTGACCTCCATGCTCCAGCTTGAGGGGGGGGGGTGTTATGATATATCGTATAATATCATATCTCCTCGTATATTCTGTTATGATAATGTGTATATCGTATATTTCCTTTTGTCGTTAACTTCCATATTTGTGGGAAGCTAGGTTAGAGATCTAGTAATATATAAACAGGTCTATTGGCCTCAAAGGAAATACAAGAGAAACATTCATCGATATCATATTCTCTTGACAAAACAAAAGTACATTTTGTACTTAAACCTTAATTTTCCTCAATAATTACTACAGAATGTAACTGCCATTAAACTCAACGTTTCGACCTTTTTTTTTAGTGAACCGACATGTAAGTTTTCGTGGTTACCAAATTGTAAAAACCAAATAAACCAAATAAAAACCAGATGATGCCACTTTCCTATTATATCATTGACCACTCAAATAAATTGGTTCGTGACCTTGACACATCTTCGTCTATCTACTGGATCTAGTACCGACCCTGAGGAGAAGCATTATAAGAGCATCTCCAACCCAAGACCTCATTTTAAGGGGAGCAAAACCTCAAAATGAGGATTTGAGGGTTGATTGCTCCAACCATAAAACCTCAAAAAATCTTTAAAAATTTATATTATTTGCATTATAGTCCTTAATATTAATAAAACTATGAATAATAACAATATTTCACAAATACATATAAAACATACAGTTATTGTATTATAAAACACACAATATTAAAATATTATATGATAAAATAATATAAATTACATATATAATAAAATAACATACACACATAATTTTTTTAGAAAGTTACATATAATATACCACTTGTAAGATATGCAATACTTAAATGTTTCTATAATTTGCTTTAATTTATGTTAAGTTTGTTTAATTATTTTTTTTATTTTTTATGAGTTATATTTAATGTATTTTTATATTTGTGTAAATTTACTTTTAGTTTTATGTATTTTTTATTATATTTTATTTTATTTTGGTATATTTAAGTTATCTAAATAAAGTTAATAGATGTATTTGTGAAAGAAAATAATTGTAAGGAATAAAAAGAAAATGAATAGTAGTTTTGAGGTTTTGAACAGTGAAACCTCAAATTTGAGGTGTCACTAATCAAAACCTCAAAATTTAAGGATTTGAGGTTCGGTTGGAGATGCTCTAAGCAACCGCTTCCGACCCTCAAAAAAGACTTTGAAAAATTCAGTTTTTTTTATAAGAAAATTATTATTATAGTATATAAACGTTCTTATAAAAGTGGCCAATTTTTTGAAAATTGCTTCTGGTCTTTCCCATGTCAGGACCGGTGCTGCTGGATCAAAATGAGTACATAGAGACTCTCCTACATTGCCTTTCATAATTATACAACGTCAAATTCCATTGTCATAATTTTTTGGTTACTCTTCATCCGCACAATCAAAACCACTATATTACATATGAGTAAGTTCATATAATTGCTGAGTGAATGAAATTTTTTAAAATACCAATATTTTGATAATAAGTTATATCATTGAAAATAAAATTTTTTTAATGCAAAATCAACTCCAATAAAACTAATACGATATATTATCTCTTTCAATTATTAAATTCAAAATCAAATATAATAACTTAGTATTTTCCTAAACGATTTTGACTTCCTAAATCTATTCCAATATTTCTGCAATCAGCCTAACAATTATAATATCATTCAAATACCAAAATATTATTTTTTCTTTCTTATCTTGCAAATCAAGTTTAATATCTAATCATTAATTACCTAAATTCATGTGATTTTCTTTAAGTTTGTAACAAACAAATCAATTTTTGGGTGTCTATCTAAGAGTATATTCGCTTTTAGTGTTAACAAATCACACGATATATATGCTATGTCTAACTTCTAGAGAAGCCAATACGATATTATCTCTTCTTGAGTAAATTCAAATCAGATATCTCAAAACTCAACGGAAACTATGAAACAAATATTTCAATATTATTCCATAACTTTTTATTATTACTTATTATAAAACTTTAATATAATAATGACTGAAACAATGTGGAAATAAAAATATACAGTCTAATTTAATAAAACACCATACATTATTTTCATAATATTATACTTTGTGTGTTTAATGTTTACATTAGCAAATAAAATGAAAAGTTGTACAACAACATATTGTATATAAAAATTTAGAAAAATACATCAATCTCAAATTTCAAAAATATGAAAGTGTCAAATAAATGTTACATAGAAATATATATAACTTACACCCGTGCGGGCGCACGGATCCAAAATCTAGTTAATCAGTTAAAAATAGATACTGAGACGATTAAACAGAGTCCGATCAAGTAATCGCCATAATTATCTTTCGCTGAGCGTCTAGACGCTCGCCTTTTTAAGCATAGGTTGGCATATATTTCTTTGGTTTGTACATGTTATCTCCAACATGCACAAACCAAAAGAATACATGCCAACTAGTTCATTGTGTCTTCTCCTTATTGCACTTAGAATATTCAGTTCTAACGGACTTGCCTAGATCAAACTATGTGTTTCTTTATTATGTCTCTATGAGCCTTTTGTCTGAAAACACTCAAACATCGCTTTAAAGCCAAAAAAAAAAAAAAAAAATCCTTCGTTTCATTTTCATATTTCCTAGTACAAACGATTTGGGATAGAACTACTTAATTATCAACGGCTTTCTATGCTATCAACAAATCATTAAAAAATCAGATGTAAGCAATCAACAAAAGCATACATAATGAGTAGTAAGTGAGTCTCCTATTATAAAAGTCGTCATGTTTGGTGGTGGGATTGGGAAGAAGGGGAGTGAAAGAGGTGGTGAACAAGTGAGTAAAAGAGTTGAAGCCTTGTCACATGTTGTGGTGGCTTTGCCTCAACGATCAAGTGTGCCCATATCCTTCCCTGTCTCGTTTCCATCACTCCCTTTAGTATGTTTAATCCAAGACCTCTCACCACGTGTGCAATTTCAAGAAACTCATCCCCATTTTCCTGGCACACCATCTCTATCTGCATTTGTCCTTGCGGCTTCAAATCCTCCACGATGATCGGACATACCACCGAATCATCATCCCCAACTTCCAATGCCCATGTTCTCTCCTTCTCCTTCACCAGCTGCCATATACATTGCAAAATTCAATCATCTAATTAATCATCATTAAAATAAACAAATATATATTTGTTTCATTTTTAAGACTCACCTTAGGCTCGTAGGGTTGTTTGAGTTGATCAGCGTACTTGGCGATGCTTTGCATGAACATCATGTGTCTTATCGTCAGATCAAGCAGTGTATCAATGCTACACTGTTCAAATCAAACAAGATTCAAATCAGGGATAATGCTACGCTTGTGATGTCAATGCTACTAATCTCTAATGAAAGGTTAATTTAATTTAAGATGTGTTTGTTTACTTTTGCTCCATTTGGAATCATCCCTCGTAGCTCCTTGATACGGTCTTGTATCATCTGCCTGTCTTTAGGCCTTGGTTTCCTTGCTCTTTTCTCCTTCTTCTTCACTCCTTCATCTTCTTGAGGTTTCTTCCAGTTGCCTGCAACGCTTGATCTGTCCTCATCAATCCACTGGGGAGGATCAAGAGGTGTTGATAGTGTCTCTTCTGCCTGAGTCATGAATAAGCTTGAGCTTGTTGATGTTTCAAGTTTCCGTCTCTTGCTCTGATTGAGGCCAGAATAAGAGTCTTCTTGCACATTTGTGAGACAACTAGTGCTGTTGCTAAGGCTAGTGCTTATGAGCTCAGAGAATAGTCCTTTTTGCTGAGGCATTGCACCAAATCCAGAATCATAGGAATGGATCCCCAAAATGTCAAAAAGATCTTTGTCGTTTCCTTGGATCACGATTTCCTGGTCACCTCCTGATGAGAAATTCTGTTCTGGTGAATCAGCTAGCAACTGGCACAAGTCGTCCAGAGAGTAAGAGTTGAGAATGTCAAACACAGAATCATCATCTCCATTAATGTCTGAAGAAGAAGGTTTTAGAGATGCTGGTTTATCGGAGATAGGGCTGAGCAAAAAAGGAAGATTACTGTCTTCAGTGAAGATGTCATCAAAACTTAAAGTATCAGGAGGGGCAATCCCACTGCTTCCCAATGGTGCTAGAGACTCGAACAAACTATCAAGATCTACCACCGGCTGTTCTGGTTTCATTTCTTCCAAAGCTCTTGTTGTTTCCTCCACCATCTCTGCGCTCTCAACAATCTCATATAATTGCAAAAAAGAAAAACACTAATTAGTCCATGACTTCCGCAGCAAGAAATTGTCTTTGTTGTTTTTTAATGCAAACCTTTTGAGTAGATCCTAACTGAACAACGCCGCTTGATCCTACTGGAATGATTGCGATACTCTGTAATTATAACATCCATATATAACAATCTGATTTAAATACATTATATATATGAACCGTAATTAAACTTTGAAACAATAAAAATTTACCTTAAAGCCAGAGAGAAACTGATTCTGAAACTCATGCTCACACTGCAGAAAAATCAAACAAGATAAATATCAAAAACCGTTATTCTTCTTTGGACAGATAATCAAACATAAAGGAAAACAAATGTAAAGAAGGTGAGCAAAACCTGAACAAGAGTGTCTGAGAACAGCCATTGGTAGTTGCCGGTCAGAGCAGCTTCACCCACGATGCTGGAGTAATTAAGAAAAAAAAAAAAAGAGACTAATTTAAGGTACATGAATATACCAATACAGGTATATATGAATAAATATTTGAGCTTCGTACCCTTGACCTAAGACATGAGTCTGGAGAATCATATCATCAACGAGCGCGGCTGATTGCTCATCATTGTGTGCTACTTCAAGTCTCAATAACCTGAAATCAATAATGTTTCCGTTCAAGGAAATTAATTATGGTTACTCTGACACTAAAAAAATATTTCTCATAAAAACTAGTTTTTATCATCTAATCCAAGAAAGAGGAAGAGAAAATTACATACATAGGATTAAAAGGATCATAACACCAAAGGACAGCATAAGACCATCCATGGCTGAAACATAGACTCTTCAACATCTGCTTAAGCTCCATATCCATCATCACCAAACTTAAGAATCCAATCCGAATTAAAGGCTCGCAAAGTTTTTTATGAAACTTGAGTTGACAAGACCGCCTAAACTATTTCTGAATGATCTCGAACTCTTACAAAAAGTAGAAACCTTTTGTCTTCTCCAGAAACCAAACTTCAAAGATAAAAGCTACAGAGAAGAAGAAATGTCTTTTTATGGTTTTCTTTAACCTCCAGAAGAAAACTGAGAGACAGAGATAATTCCTTTGCTTTTTGTTGAAGCAATTAAAAAGGGGAAGTTTAAAGTCTTTGTCCTTCTATATATAAGCAAATGTCTGTCATTCGAACGGAAGTGGAAGAACTTTTGTAGAGAAGTTGCAGGACTTCAATAAACAACAAAACAATAAAGTATTATATAATAAAAGATTATCTTAATATTTTAATTTGCTTGACGGTATCCAGTCACGCTTTTGCCTCGGAACCGACGATAACTACACTGGCTATCACCGGTTAATATAAGTCTGCTTGCTTTTGTGGGGATTTTTTTATTTATTTGCTATCTTTTGAAAATTAATACGGCCGAGGTCTTCGATATTTCTAGGAAGGAAAGATTTTTTATTTTAAATATGGACTAATAAATACTCGATACGAATTTATGAATACTTTATTACAAAATATTATACTAATGATTAACGAACAATTAAAATTAAAGACGAAAAGATGAGACTGTGATCCCCCACCGAGAAAAAGAAAAACAAAGATAATGGGTCTGTGGGGTTTCGACCGATCATCTTCTCATACATTTTCTATCTTTTTTTTTTTCTGATGATCCAGGTATCCAGATCTCTCACTTTTAGTCTGATTATCCCACCGCATCCAATCGGAACTAGCGAAGAAGATCATGAAGGTCAAATGGAAACCATGTTAAATCCGCTGTGGCCGGAGCTCGAAGTCGTGATGGCAGACACGAGGCCCGGTTTACATTTTCTATCTTCCTCGTTTATTGTTGCTTATGTATTTTAATTTATTAATGTTATTGTATTCTTATTTAATGTAAGATTAGTGCAGATACTTATTTTTATTTATATAATATATAAATATTATTTACATGTTTATCAGTTAATATTCTAAATATTTTTCAGATTTTAAAATTTTTATAAACATAATAATCAAATAGTTTACATGCTGTAAAAATAGTGATCCGTGCGTCTTACTAAATCTTCGACAAATATTAACCTATTGATTGATATGTTTGAATAATATTCCCTCTGTTCTTAAATGATCAATGTTTTAAAATTTTCACACTTATTAAGAAAACACTTAAAATTTTGATAATAAATAAATTATTTTATGTGTTTGGCTATTTTCTATGATTTTTAACCAATCAAAATTCAATAAACATAATGAATGTTTTTGAAGTTTACAATTTACCATTATTACATACATTGAAAATGTAAAATATGAATCTTTTAGAAACAAAATATTTTTTCTAAAATATGGATCATTTAGGAACGGAGGGAGTATTTCTTTTTAGGCGAAATTGTTTCTAAATATAATAATATTTTAAATATTTCGAGATAGGGAACCATACGGTGAGATTTACATAAATTAGAAAATTAAAATTCAATCATAAATATTAAATATTGTTCAACAAATCATTCAAAAAAATTTAACTCATAATATAGTAGATTTTACTGTCAAAAATACTCAATAGTAACCGAGATGTTTAAATTTGTATTTTTGAAAATTTTGAATATATATAATTTTAGGCGACATTTAGTTATATTAAAAAGGAATATTTGGTTACAAACATTTTATATTGTTCTGCAAGTAATTTAAAGATATTTAATTCTTAGCATATATAGATTAAATAATCATTGGTAATAGTAATGGTTGAACATATAATTTAGGAATATCTGTTATATTGTTTACTATTGATTTTTATTTTTATTTTTGGTCAAATTGTTTAATATTGATTTTAAACTTAAATTTTGTTCAAAATAATTAATGATAAAAATATCCAAGTTTAATATTGTTAAAACTGATTTTAAATTTAATATTTCTAAAAATTAACTCAATCATTTTAAGAAATATGTTAAACACAAAAATTTAGTTGAACTTGATTTAAAAACAATTTAATAAAATAGGAAAACAAAAAGATTCCTTAAAGATAAGTTCATTAATTATTTCAGTGGCATTGAACTGTAAATATTATGCAAGTTTAAGGGGTATTTTTATGGGTACTTCTATTTTAATAAAATAGATATTAGTAAACTTAAAGTCCAACTAGTTTAATAATAATTATTAATAATAATATTTAAATGTACAAAATTGTAATATATAATTTTTATAGGTAGAAATGAAACCATATGAAAGTGATAGAACATTTGCAATAATATTGTTCTTCTCTCTATATTTGGTATAAAATTTGCTATACCATTTGAGATCTTATATTTTATATTTGGTATTTAGGAAAAAAAATAAAGTACCAAACTTAATATTTAACACCTATTTTTGTTACTTGCAACGTCTCCACATATAGAAATATTTACACTCAAAGTCACTTTTCTACTTTATTATTACAATATAAGACAGTTTTCACTACTAAGTTAGTTTTGTCTAACCACACTCACTTTCTAGCTAAAAATTAACTAAATAACTTTGTAATCAAGTGATATACGATAACTAAATATAACATCTATTTCATTTTTGGGTGGAATTGAACTATAGCCCTTCATATATTTGTTAATTTAATGGTCAAGAATCATCGGAGATAAAGTGGTGACCTGTCTCCGGCTCGTCATATGGCGAGTGGAACAAACCATACGGAGACCAGCTCTCTTCCTTTGGATCTTGACTGAACTATCTCTTGTTTTGTGTCGATTGGAATAACTACCGTTAAAACTTTACATTAAAAACAGGAAAAACTTATTTTCTCGTCAATGTATAAAACGACAACAATTAACTAAAGCATCACAATTTCCTCGACTATATGATTGGTTTAAATTATTTCATAGAACCGACCTAGTATCAAGGATGACTTCTCAAGGAAATCGTAAGAATGCCTAAGTCAAAAATGACCTAATGAGGTCTAAAACGGAGCTAAAAGCCTACTTACGATTTTTGATGAAAATGAATCCAAAGTTATTATAACGATCTATCTTCTATTCGCAAGAAAATAAAAATGTCAAGTCTCCCAAAATAATTACAAAGATCGAGAAAAATATAATATTTCCAAGAAGAGATAAATTTGGATACGAGGGTAAAAGAGGAAAACGCGACTGACCTAGAGACATATATTAGGGGAGCTAGAGCCAAAAGAAAGGGGACGGAAAATTAAGACCTAGATAACTTATGTTAGCTTAGGGGAACTTAAAACTTATGTGGTTGGACAGATTATCCTTGTTAGTAGTTCTCTATTCATTCAATTTTTGGTGAAATCAGGTAACTATGTTTTTATCAATCAATAAAACATCTATGTGCAATTCTAAATCGCTATTTTGTTATCCATCTATTTTCGTATTCGTATGATTTCGCAGAGATCAGGGACCTCTGAAAATTTTAGGGTTCCTAACTTTCCTAATTTAACGAAAATAAACGGTTTGAATCTCGGTTCACACAAATATTTTGGTGAAGACTAGTGAAATACATAAGGAATATGAGTCGAGCGAAATGTGTTAGGGGTCGTTTGAACTGAGTTATTTTATTCGATTCCGTTTGTAAATAAATTATATTCACGGGTTTGGGGTTGATACATAAAACACTACTATCAAAAAACATATACAGTAACTGAAGATCAAGAGTGTGGTTGCTGTCAAATGGTTAGACAAGTTGTTTATGTATGCGCGCGAATGGACTGATATCCCCTATATATTATTTGGGAATCATTTAAAAAGTTGTAACCTTAAGTTTGTAAGAATTAAAAATAACTCCAATCCTATGTGGCATAGCTCTTTGGCTTCTATTTCAAATCCTAAGGATTCTAGAGCATGTGATATAATGTATAGTCTAAAAATTATACTCTCTAGCAATATAATATTTCGTAGGCTATAGTTGTCGCATATATCAAATATTTATTGTTTCGCATGCTTTCCTTAAATAAACCCTACGGAATTACCTAATATGATTAAAATATATATGACAATTAATGATTTTAAATAATAAAGATTTGATAACAATCTGTATACTTTTTCTCATTTTTTAATTATTTATTATTAAAATAAATTACACAATTACATTAATCATATAATAAAAATCTAGATTTTTTTGTGAGTATGTTGTATTTTCGAATTTTTCAAAATGAGTATAAATTACTAAAACTGTTAAAAGTCTCACATAAACTTTTAGAATCAAGTTTTTAATTTTTTTTATATTAAAATATAATAATTATAAATTATTGAAACTACTAAACATCTCACATTAAAAAAAAATTCATTGGTGTAAAGTTTTGTGGCACAAATATGCAAATAATCATAAAATCATATGAGTAAAAACCTCATTTAATAAATATCCATATTAAAAGTGTGCTATATTACTACGTTTATATCATTTAAATTTAATTATATATCATATACAATATATAAGATTGATTATTTTGATTTATTTACCCTAATTGCGAATAAACAAAGTGATAGTTAAATTTATATGCATATGTCAATTTATTACATAATAGTAACTGATTTTTTAGTTATTTAATATATATATTTATTATTTTATTATTTTATAATATGCAGAAAAAGAGAAAATAAATAATAAAGATAAAATACTTATTTTGTATAAAGTGCAGATCTTAACCTAAGTATGAAACTCTTTAATTATTTTAAATCTTAAGTATTTTATAAATCCAAGTCAAAAAAACAAATAAAATGAGAATAAATCTCAAAATAAATATTTATATCGAGTAATAACCAAAATATTAAAAAAAACACAAAATGAGAAAAAATTGAAGATAAATAGGATTAACACGTGAACGTAAACTTCTCATAACCATAATTAATTTTTAAATTGTTAAATCATGATATAAAAATTAATTTTTAATTTTTTAATTTGTTAATTTTTTAATTTTTAAATCATTATGGTTATGTTAATCATGACCATAATTAATTTTAAATTATATATTTGTATTTGAAAAACTTAAAAATTAAAATAATTTCAAATTTAACTTATTTTTTTATAAAAACATTAGGAAACTTGCTAATACTCTACCAATCAAGCCCAATGACACTCTGTTAGTTTTCCGTCACTCGAACAGTGAAAAAATATATGAAATCGG